GGTACCAAAATTGGGACCCACTGTGCGATACCAATGAAAATATCATGGTTCTGAGTAGTATCACGATACCACAGCGAAAATGAGGCAGATGTGCCTTTTGTCATTTATGAAAAGATAAATCACTTTTCTATAATACATCAATGATATTTCAATGGAATAAATTACTTATTGACTTATTCATACTTCAAAAACAGCATCAATAAGTGATTAACATAGGGGGGATCAAAATAAAATAAATAAATAAAATAAAAATCAACCAGCCACCCTCCTCCCCTGACAGTCCCTTCATAAGTAAAGAACAGTCCCTTCATAAGTAATGAACAGTCCCTAAAGTGCGGTGAGGTTTGTGGGCCGTTACTGACACAAAGACAGAAATGTGAACGGCTCATTCTCATCTGACACATCACATACCTGTGTTAGGCTGGCTCGGCTGTTCAGGTACGTCTGGGCAGTCATGACGCCAAGAAGAGGATATTATTGGAACCGACTTCTCCGTCGCCGGGTAAGCCGATGGCCGCCGTATTTGACAGGAATAATATTAACGTTACTGTCTGTGTCTGTGACCCCCGTTCAACCCACAACCGATGGGATTCGCCTTTCGTTTTTGCTGCTGGTTGAAATCTGTAGGCTGCTCGCACAGAGTGCTGAATGATTTAAGCCTATTTTGGTCGCTCAAAACTATTTTTAGTCGCAAATGCGAGTGCTGTGACGGGCGGATCGCCACACTGCCGACATTTTATTCCGCCCGTCACGGCACGCCGTTTGATTGCGTTATCAAAACGCCGCTATTATTCAGCCTTGCTTTTAACTTAGTCCACCGAATACCAAATGTGTGTTTTTTTTTAAATATTCGGCCGAATATATTCGGTTACCGGTTAACTAGATATTTTAAATGGTTCGGCTCGCAAAAACGGAATTAAAATAAAACAAAATAAAATAAAATAATATCCTGCGCCCAATAATTCGGTACAGGGTCGTGCCGAACCGAAAGTCGCATACCGAACGGTTCGACACAAATACATGTAGGCCTACCATTACGGCCCTAGTATGGATCCATCTGGATTTAGATTAAACAAGTAATCATTTTTAAAACACTTTTTTTTTTTTTGAAAAATACAACATTAATTGAGTATAAGGATTATTTCGATGGCAATTTATCTCTCAGTGATTATTCAGCTAATACCTTAGTCCCCAAAAGACCCCAAAAGAATCAAAACAATGGAAGAAGGAAGTGCTGCTTGGCTCAGACAGGGTCTTTAGTGAGGCAGGTTAAAAAGTACAAAAAACAAGATTCAGGAAGTCTCAAATTATTGCAGATAACCATGGAAAAAAACAAAGGCACTCCATCTTTAGGTGAAATAATCTCATATATTTCTTTGAAGAATAAATAGCTATGTGAAATTATTTCACCTGAAGATGTAGTGCCTTAATTTTTTCCATGGATGGTTACGATAATATAAAATTGTGTGACCACGTCCAGATATGATGTAGCACTGCACAATAGTGCATGGTGAAATGCTGCTCAGGGTGTGGATAGAGGAAGCAGCAACTCATCAAGGACATGGAAGGAACTGGGTGGAGATGTGAACCTTTGAAAATATATTAGCAAGAGAAACGTATGACCAAGACAGTTCTAAGAAGTCACACTGATGCTCTGGAAACTGGGCTAAAGAACTACAGTCTTTGTTCATAGTGTTTTGTTAGGTCGTACAAAACTGACATGTCAAAATGTTGCTCTTCACCACAGTCAGTTATGGAGCTAATTATGAATACACAAATAGATACATGGAAATTCTCGTTTCAAACCTGAGATCAGCCCCTTTATCCATGCTGGACACAAAGCGGATAGCATCCTGGCAAAGACCATAACTCAAGAAGAGCACAGCGTTCTCACTGATGTTGGCAATGAGGGCCGGGGTCGTGCCTTTGTAGAGACCACGGAGTCCCACCTGCCTGAAGGTGGATATGAAGCAGTGGATGAAGCCGCGGTACATGGTGGGGAACGTCTGCATCTTCACCTTTGTGGTGTCAAATGGCTGGCCGCTCAGCACACAAGCTGTCCCACCTGAGGAAGGATTTCAAGATCTGTCTTACTGAGATTCAGTAGGAGAGATGAAACCAATGCAATGACTTGATGAAGGAGGAGAGTCCAAAGCTGGGGTCCAGGGAGCAGTTTGAACACTTTTAGTTTTTCACACTCGCTTTGGTGCATTTCTTGAATCATCCCCAACATTTGTAAAACCGTAACAGTGCAGTTTTTGAAACAATTTCTACAAACAGCACAACACAATGCATTACCTGTAACTTCCTAAAAATCCTTTGTTAATCTCTCAGAAGTAAATATATCATTGAACATGTCAGTGCCATCAGAATATGTCATTGTTTGCAAAGAAGAGTCAGAATGCTTAGCCATGTTGCCAATATAACAGTGCACATGGCCAAGGTTTTGATGACAAAGACTGAAAATACATAAGGCTGCAGTTTATCTATATGGCATATATAAAAAATATCAACAGTACAAAGTTGCACATTGCTGTACTTGGGAGATTGATAGCAAGAGATGGTCAGGATTCACAGGGACGTCTTTATTGTTTGTACTGTAATTTGTGGACAGACCATGTCATTGGGATGCAGAAAAGAAAGTGACAAGACTGCATAGTGTTTCAGTACAACTCTAATAATATTTATACATTTAAAAAAATCTGAGACAAAACACTAAAGCCATTTTTTTAATCAATAAAATGAACATTGTTTCTGCAGTAAATAGAGAGACAGCAGATGGAGTAACACAGAGGAAATCGAGGAAACAAAACTGTTATTTGCTCATGCATTGTCTCAACTTGGATAATTGTTCAATCATGATGAATAAGTTGATTTTTACAGGTAAAATGTCACTTTTTAAGTCATCGACAGCCAGTCAGACAGACTGACAGACAGACAGCAGGTCTGGCTGATTCACGCAGTAAACTAACCTGCTGCTCCAGCTGAGAAGTCGATGATTGCCTGGATTATGGGATGTGGAGCCATGATGATTTATAAGATGCTTTGAACCTGAAGATGTATGCCATTTATCAACATACAAATACAAACACAAAAGTGAAAGTAGGCTACTGTAAATTTAGCACCGATCTGCTCAGATATAAAGCTACAGTAAAGAACATAAAAGGCACATAGACTCTGTACTGAAGACTATAGACGAGGGAGAAAAAAATACATCTGTGAAGCATACTCACCTGTTGTCTTCTCGGTCGGCTGCTGATTGCGTGCTGATTGTTTCCCTCCACAAAATAACTCTCAAAGCATTTGTTGCACTACAAGCTGTCACCACCTTGCAAATTTGCACATGATGACCAAGACCTTGTCAAATAGGCAGAGTCGCCTACAACCTACCGTGTAATACATTCCTATATACGCATCTTAATTTACGGAAATTAAACTACGATTTTCAGGAACATAGTGTTCAAAAGTTCTTAAAATTCAACTATGTCCGAGGTTAGTCTTGGGGTTTTTTCTTACTGTACTACTTCCGCTTTCTGATTAACGTCTTGTGAAATCTATTGGCGGACTGCAACGTCCATTCCGTGCGTAAAAGTGTGCACTTCACGCACAGCAAGCGCACAAAGAGTTGCATCAGGCTCTCCAGGGGAAATCACAATAATACAGGAAATAATTTGAGACCCAGATTTAAAGCATGATGATTAGTAGTGTAATCAAAATGTATCTGTATTTTTCCAGCTTTTGATATACCTCTTCACATCTGGTGACTGTTGGCACTGCAGGGGTTTACATTTTATTGTCGTTCATTTATCTTTTCTTTGAATCATTATTCAGTTAAAACGCTTTTGGCAATTTATTGCATTATGAAACTTATAAGTATGTTCTATTTTTTTCTCAGAATGGCGTGACACAGTTGTCTGGTAGAAGTTACCGCACAGGGTAGCCGATAAGTAAATGGAACAAAAAGTACAATGTCACAAATGTCTTTTGCTGTGTTTTTTTTTTTTTGTCACGCTGATTTAGTGGAGAGATAAATGCGGAAGAGATGCAATAATAGCTGTATCTGATTGCAATGCCTGGCAATGGCCACAAGATGTCAATAAAGTCCATAGTTGACTGAGGACACCCAAACAGCTTCAGGTCCAACCAACAGTCCACCTTCAGCTGAAGGCAGACAGTGTTTTGCTGCATTCATTTAAGACTGATGAGCCACTCTTTCCTCTTGTCTGTCAGTCAAAATATTCTTAAATCTTTTCTGAGGAAAAAAAAAGGTTTTTGTGTTTTTATTTGCATACTTATACACACAGTTGGTATTATGAGTATTTTTTTTTTAATTTTGCCCTATTTATCTGTGTAGTATCCCTAGTTTTGAGAAATCTTATTTAATTTTGTACTTTTTTTTAGGATTTATAAACCCTCTGTAAACTTGACTTTAAATGACTACACTATGATTATTGGCTGTAGCAGCAGTAGTAATTATTTATGTGGATAATTAATTAAGAACATGTTACAGCCTACTCACAAGGAGTGGTTTGAGGTTGCTGACTTAATTTCAGATGTAAGTTGTACATGAAAAAATATAACTTGTTATCTGCTCCCATAAATATCAGATGAAAGATGAATTATCCAAAGAACTGTATATATTAAAACCTACATAACTAAGTAATGGTTAAGACTGTGAAATTAGGAAATATTGTCACACAGATTAAATTATATCAACAAGATGACCAAAAAAATAAAATAAATAAATAAAATAATATAATTTAATTTAATTTAAGTTGTAGGGAAGTATCACTCCTCGCTGGACGGAAAGTGTAAAGTTACATATAATTTTGATGCATAATTTACAAAGAGATACAGACAGAGAAAAGTTCTTCTTCTTTTAGGGGCTTCGCATCAGATGTTTACTAGACGCATAAATGAAAACAAGGACCATTTTTTTTTCATCCAACTCTTTCGATGCCATTCATTGGCGCTCCTCTGGTGTCAATCAAATGTGGGCGGTGTCAGCTGACAAACGATACTTCCAGTAAGTCCTCACATGCTGTACAACACAGAGAGTCAACAGGCTGTACGCGGCACAGACCAACATCACTACGAGTGGATAACAAAAACAAAGCAGTGGCTCGACACAGTGTGAACACACTGACAACTTTTGTTCCACAGGAAAAGCCTTTTTAAAGACATACTTTTTATTATTGTCTACAGATTTTTACCGGCTTGGGATGTGACTTTCACTGTAGACTTTGCGCCCAGGAGGAGCACTATTTTCCCGGACAGATTTATCTTGTGTTCGCTCATATTTCAAAGGCGAAGTTGAGACTTTTGAGGGGCAACAGGTTCGCCACATTTACATGACATTGTAACACTTGGCTCCGTCACCTCTCGACCATGGCGGAAGCGGCCCAGCAGCCACACCTGGTGGAAATCGACCCGGATTTTGAGCCCCTGTCGCGGCCCCGGTCGTGCACTTGGCCTTTGCCCCGGCCGGAGTTCATCAACCCGGGCGACTCCAACACGTCCTCGCCGGTGCCGTCTGTGAAGCAGGAGCCCACCGGCAACGAGTTCATCAACAACCTCAGCCTGCTGGAGGAGACCGAGGACTTCACGGAGCAGAAGCCTGCCATCCTGTGCACCGATTTCCAGTGCCAGGAGAACTGCGTCCACCAGCAAGCTCCACAGCAGCAGCAGCAGCAGCAACATCAGCATCAACATCAGCAGCATCAGCAGCAGCACCCGAACCCGCAACTCCCGCATCAACAGCAGCAGCAGCAGCAGCAGCAGCAGCAGGTGCCTCTGCTCTCCTCCCCTGTCGGCTCGTCGTCCTCGGCGGCCGCGGCCGCAGCTGCCGCCGCTGCCCAGAGAAAGAGCAGCTCCTCCCGGCGAAACGCATGGGGGAATATGTCATATGCAGACCTCATAACCAAAGCTATCGAAAGTTCTCCGGAGAACCGACTAACTTTGTCTCAGATTTATGACTGGATGGTGAAGAGTGTGCCTTATTTCAAGGACAAAGGAGACAGCAACAGCTCTGCAGGCTGGAAGGTACGTTTGTTTTTCTCTCTTTGGTACTTTAATCCAGAAGATAAAGTGTGTGTGTGTGTGTGTGTGTGTGTGTGTGGTGGGAGTTTACAGCATGAATGGTTTAAGGCTGCTGCTTATGCCTGATACAGCAGCTGCCTGTGCCAGTTCTCCTACAAAGTTTTCCAGTGGGGCGTTTTGGTGTGTCTGTGGCACTTAACAGTGGGTTCACAGGGACTTCATTGTGCTTTATGCTATGTTTTTATCTCCTGTGGTATCACTATAATATCCCTCCAGGGATGTCTGGCTTCTCTGTGGCGTTCAATAGCCAGTTTATTCTGTGAAGCTTTGTGATCAGAGTTGTTTATTGTTTATCTCCATCTATGGATGTCTCTTGGAGGGAGATCCATTTGGATTAGTTTAGGGCCTTTACTTTTTTTCCACAAATGTTCCTAAAGTGACAAAAGAACATGAATGAATCTGTGAACTTGTTTACCATTCGCTCCCCAGCATGGTCTTGTGAAACCATGTCCTTTTTCATTGTCATCCATCCACTTCATTGCAATTCAGTAAACTGGCCAATTGCTTCCATGACCTCCGACAGTCATCTGACTTCTCCCTGCAGTATGTGATTTATATGAGTCTGCTGACTCAACAGGGTTTTTTTTTTCTCTTTGTCTTATTGCTTCCCTCAGTGTGCTTTTCGAAAATGCTGTGAGTTCTGGCTGGTTTGAGACAGCTCTCCTCTCTCTGATGGTACTTTAAAAATTTATGATAGATTTTAGGCTAAATCACAGTTTTCCATGCGAGAGAGTGTGCCTTGAATGAAGCTGTGTTTGGACGTCTTTGTTGTAAGGAGATGCCAGAAGCATTAATGTGTCCTGGAAACAGTCCAAAACATTACACAAGAGGGGACTTAAAATTTCTGATGTGGTGTGGCAGGCCCTCCCACTGAACACTATTGAAGGGCGTAAACCTCCCTTCGGAGACACATAGTTGTAGTGGTGTCTGACAGTAAATTGATGACAGTCTACTCTCCCAGCGGGAAATCATATTAAGCCTGTAGTCACACATTGAGAGATTTATTATGGCTTCCTCTGTTATAGGCTGTCTGGGTTGCCAATGAAATTTAAAGCATTTGTGGGGAGTTTTTTTGTCCTCCCCTGTCAGAGTAGGCTCCCATGTTTGAGTCATGTGCTGAGCGATGACACATCCATGTATGGCACGAATGCCAAAGAGAATTTCTTTTTTTAGTTTTTAATGAATCCCATAGACAAATACAAAAAAAACCGATATTTGAGTCACAACTTTCATATTTTGCCATACACCAGATTTTATTATATTCTTATGAATTTGACTGAGCACAAATGCAGTTTTCAGCAACGCCCTGCTCCATATTCATCCATTCGACGGCAGTGTTTACTAAAAGGACAAAACTCACGTTGAGCTGTCAAACATGGTCCTGTCAGTCAAATGATATGAGAATGGAAAACCCCTTCAGTGTGGTGAAATATACACAGTGAACAAAGCAGGTATTGGGAAGTTGCGTTGCTGGGGGAGTGATATTGTCCCAGTAGGTTTGGTCCTTCAAGGAAAAGCAACATTTCCCCTTTGCTTATCCAAGAATTTGCTCTCCATTAACATTTTTGCGTGAAAAGAGCAAAGATGTTTTCCAGTGAGCAGTGAAGAATTAATTAAAAAACAAATTCAGAGGGATGCACTGGTGTGGGAAAGTAAAACTAAAATACATCTATGAGGACCCCAGGAAGATTATCAGTAATATTGAAGGAGATAATGGGGATTAGAAAAAGTAATCTATAGGCAGCATGTGGGAAGGTGACACCTCGTACACACACCTACAGAGTGTTAGTCACATGGAGTCTGAGGCTGTGGTGTATTTGAGGAAAAAAAATGGTGTTGACTTCAGAAGATAGAACCATCTTTCCATTTTTATTTAAACTTTCAACTGGCGAGAAAGGAGACTCGTCACTTGGCCACTGCAGTGTCAGCAGCACTACCAACATGACCATGAAACATGGCCGTGATCAACACTGTCTCAGTGTTAGTCACTTGTTACAGTGTAATTAGGAAGTTATTATATAGTAGAGTGTACCTAAGACAAGTGTCTATAACCCTAACCTGAAGCCGTACAACAGTAGATCATTTACATTTTGCAAAGCATGCAACAGAGTCACACTGACAAAGACTGAACATGTCTCTGTGTCTTCGTTAATGTATCTAAATAAATAGAAGTTTCTCTTTGTTGTTCTGTGTAGAAGTAATTGTGATTGGCGGCTCGGAGAGGGGCGCTCAGCCACCGCCTGGGCTTGCTGCTTATCCTGCCATGTTGGGGGTGTAGACTGAGTAATACTGTGGGAAAGCAAAGTGCCATTCACTGCTGCGAGGGGAGTTATTCATAGAGCTCCCCTCTGTTCCATACAGGGGGGCTATCGCACATTGTCTCCTCGGAGCGAGCTTACTTATGAGCCAGGGTGAGA